TTTAAATTACAATTGTAATTAGGGTACTAATGATTAAAATTGGTGGACGGAGGGATGGAGGGAGGGAGGGAGGGAGGGAGGGAGGGATGGACGGACGGACTGACGGACGGACAGGATAACTGTATGATTGATAGGGAGGACGGATGGATGGATAGATGAATGAATGAAAGGATAGAAAATAATTATTCAATTGACGGAAGATTGAGTCAAAAGATTTGCTGCTATTATCCCCAGTTATTTTGATACTCATTCAATTTTCTCCTTTTCCTTTTCTTTTGGTTTAACACAAGTCAGTTATGTTAATATGAGCATTAGCAAGACATACACAACGAAACGGATACAGTGATGTGTACTAATATTATTTTCTGTATTTACGACGAAAGAGTCTTCAGAATTATCCTGCATTAGATTAGATTTCAAATTAAATGACATTAATTTTATATCAGTTAGTTTAGTTCATATTTATTTATAACACTACTATTATGTCACGTGTGGGGTCACGCGTCATCCAAGTGGCGGGAAGCAGTCACGTGATAGTTTACAGCATTTCTCGTACATTGCACAAAAAGATGCACTACTTGAAAACTTTTTTACAGCTTTTTATACCTCACTAAGGAAGAAAAACATGTTAATTCAAGATTATGTTTTCTTTTTATTTTAAAGTGGCTTTGATTAAAATAAATGTACATCAGTGATTTTATGTTATTCAATCTCTCACTGACATTCCGTACTTTTACTTCTGAGCATTTTTAAAAAGTTTTTTTACACCGAATTAGCTTTACTTCGAAGTTTATAGTAATCTGTTAACAGGCTCATGGTACAATAGTCTGTGTCTATAAATTGCAGGCGTTCCTCGTTGGTTCTGTGACGGAGACTGGGGACGGGGGTAAAGATCCAACAAGTAAGGTCTGCAATGCAGGCTACCGCACGATCCTTCGCACCACGTGTTTTTTTACCAGTCCTCTAGCTTTCCACCTCTAAGAGGCGATTCTCGTTTAGTTAGTTTCAACATTGCTCCGCTTTCACTCCCTTTAAAAAACTTAAAGGACTAAAGGAAATGTCATAGCCAAGTCAGTTAGCTCACATACCTTCACTTCTCCTTGATCACCTACTGTTCTTTCTACCGTTAGAGGAATAGTAGTAGTAAGGTTGAGGTCAGGCTCGGTAACGACCATCGCTGAAGTATCTTTGAATGAGAACTTGCCATTGGGGAAGCCATGTTTGAGGACGGTGATGGTGATGTTGGATTGGACATTGTCAAGTGTAGCACCACCGGTTATGTCACTCAAATAAAGAAGAAAGATTTCTTGTGGCTCGGGTTCTGTCGAAATGAAAATATATAACCAATTGATAAATATTCGTTCAAACTGGTTAGAGCTGTGCTCTGATGTGTCATACATGGACTGTATAGCGGCTGCCAGAGGTGCCTTTGCATGCTTTCAGTTCGACCGGTACCCAACCAAATGAGCTAACCGGGAGGCGGTAACTTATAGTAGATTTATATTCGACTTCTTCACTAGCCTGCAAAGTAACCAAGGGTTTGTATTCGGTTGCACACAGGCTACGTCTTAAACCTCTCGACTTAAGCCTGGTATTTATGATTTCTGGTTTTCAGTCATCAGAATGTCAGAATTGGAAAGGTAGGCAGTAGGTCGCTTTGCCGGTCGGTCGGTCGGCCGATAGACGCGCCAAGTCGGCCATAATGTTTGTTCGTCGGTAAAACGGTCCGTCACCCATTCTACATTCTTTTTGTTCTTTTTCTCTCTCCTTTCCGCTATTTAGCGTAGCACTGCTTATAAACCATCTCTACGAACAAACAAGATTTTCACATACCTGTATACGCATCAAGTTTGAGCTCCAAGTATTGGGTGGATCCTTCACCATCAGCAAAGTTGAGACGACCATCAAAACTAGAGCTGGTAAAATCATCAGACAAAGGTTCACTTGTCGGTTCTATACTTATTACTTGCCACTTAACCTGGATATAAATAAATAAGACCCTTTAATAGACAAATGAGCTTCGTCTTTCCTCGCTACAGGTACCGTATAAGTTTCTTGGTATCGATTTCAATGTCTTTCTAAAAAAAATCCACTCCATGTAAGAGCTCATCTAAGGACACTCAACTCACATGCTAATTTTTACGGAGGGAAGAAACTGGAGATCCCGGAGAAAACCCTCGTGGCTAGGGAGAGAACGGCACATCAAACAAACACAACCCACATGTAGGGTTCAGAGTAGCATCGAAGCAGCAACTACAGGGGTGAAATATTACTGGGTTTCAATCAGCTCATGAAAGTCTTTGAATCTCATTATCTGTTCCAAATGGTGGTCATCACCATGTGCTGTCAGCCAGGACGATTTCTATTGCAAACTTGTAATGCAGCTGATGAATGAGATTCGCATGAGGCAGCAAGTGGCGTCACGTTAGATATTTTCAAAAGGTTTTACCCCAGTTTTCATAATCTAGACACCTGGGTATTTGGCTTCTATAAGTCAAAAAACTACTTTTGTTGAGACTGTTGACAATTTGATCAGTAAGGACCAAGAAACTCAGACGTCTAGCTAGGTCTCTGGTCAATGGCTGTATGATTATAAAAATTCTGTAAGTCTCGTGAACAATTGTGTTGGATCGTTACAAATACGGGAATACGATAGCTGATTGGATTATTCCCCCCCCCCCCCCCCCCCCCCCCNTCCCCCCCCCCCCCCCCCCAAATAACCTACCGATATAGCTCCCTGTGAACCATCTGTTCTAGATACACCAAACTTCAGGGTTCGTGTGGTATTAGGATTAGGCAGTCGAAGATCAGTACTGTTCACAAACCCCACAAGACCGTACGGATTATCGCTCGTCAGGATGTTGATGTTAATCGAACGTATCGAGCCCAGGACCGCTCCGCCTGACACTGAATCCAACAAAACTGAAAACGTTTCACGGTGCTCAGGTTTCGAGTCATCGATGATCGGAATGGTTATGTTGGCTGTCGTCTGGTTTTCGTCGAACGTAACTGAGCCCTTTGATTGGTTGTAATCTTCGCCGAAAGTAGCCGTGCCGTTGAGGACGATAAAGTGGACCATGACTCTCCCGAGGGCGCCACCTGGAAAAAATAGCTCTTTTATTTGAATCATCAGAATTATTTACGCACACGAAGAAGAAAGAAAGATGATAAAAGGAGACGGCCTAACAACACAAAGAGGAAGAGAAAATGAACKAAAGAAGAAAGCCAAAGGTAATGCCGCTGTGATAGACCGGGTCGGGAAATTATCTGGCCCAGTAGCACCATTATCTGAAAGTCAGTTGACATATTTATTGTCAAATTCCCTTGTGATCAAATTGAAGGTATAGGGCTCATTGGAAGGAAGGAAGGAAGGAAGGAAGGAAGGAAGGAAGGAAGAGTAATAACTAAACGCGTCTCTACTGAACAAGTCTATGTTAAGGCCGAATTACACGGTACGATTTTCCTCACAATCATCGCGCGCCACATACGGAGAAACCCAAACTTCTTGTCTAAATACACCGTACAACTTGCTTAGGACTATAAATGGCTGCTACAACTTGGCGTAAGCATGTTGCGGACGACAGTTGTGAGAAAAAGTCCTACCGTGTAAATCAGCATTTGGTGTCTCCTACTTACCAACACGTTCCAATTCTATCACCACCTGTTTGTCCTTTTCACGAACATCTTTGGTCGATTCCGTCAACTGAATGACCCCATTTGCTTTATCATTCTTTTCAATGGTGATCTTCACACTTCTGTTTGTACCAATCCTCGGTGGTTGATCTGGTCTGAGGCCTCCAAAAATGCTATAATTCATGGGGCGAGTTGGCAAAAGAGTCACGTGTTCGAGTCGAACCAATAGCTCTTCTTCTAGTTCTGGTTCGCTGTCATTTTTAATCTTAATGTAGACTTGTTTATTCTCATCTTTGTCAGCAAAATTGATGGCTGAAAGAAAAAGGACACGATGGTTAAACAAAGCACAAGTAACACGAATCGAAGACATTCAAAATATTCAAGAAAAATGATAAGGCTGATTAATTCAAAGACCTTTTTGAATTTAAACTCTCTCATGTTTAATCATTTTCAACACAAGGATCGCGGCTTTGGCGTAATGTATCGTACACCCATTTTAGACCACGTGGCATTCTCTTGTGAATAAGATTCCTTGTTCGAGTGGGATTCATATTCGTGTGTCTTATCATGTGCAACCGTTAAACAAAGAAATAATATGTTAAGTGTATGCTACATCGAGTGTATAAGCAGATTAAAAAATCTGCCTCAGTTATATTCACTCGATGTAGCATACACTTAACATATAGATCTTTACCGAGTGACAAAAACACTTTTCATAAAGAAATAATACTCTAGGGAATGACACGTGGACTTGAATGGGAAAATGCTTCGCCCAAAGGTAATAGTCTATTTGTTGTATACGTACAGTAACTAGATACTTTGTAGTCCTTGCCAGCTGTAGCTGTAGATGACGTCACCGTGAAATTGACAACGACATGGCCAAAGCGTCCTTGTTTTCGCGTGACTGTGAGATTAACGTAATGGTCGTGCTCAGAGACATTGCGTATGAGAGGAGGGTTAAATATGAACACTCCATAAGGATCGTCACTAGCGGCAACATTGATGATTGACTGGAGAGTTTCCTGGCCACCGAAGTCGGCACCATTATCGATTTTGATTTTAAACAAATATGATGCGAATTCCTCTGAAACGGAATCTTGCTTAACCTATAAGAACAACAATGTGAAGAAAATAAAAATTAGGAATTTTCTTTCATTAATTTACTATCGTTATTATCCATCGCCACCGCCACCGCCACCGCCGCCGCCAAAAATCCGGGTTGAATTGGCATTGCAGTAATAATAATTATGCCGGGTTTTTATTTTTAAAATAATGCTTTATTTTATTTTTTTATTTCGTCCCACAGTCCCAAAGTGCACTGCATACAAACTCGACCCAGTTTTTTTACTCACTCGAGTAATGGCTAATATCGCCAACAACATGAGGCGCTCAATAAAAGTACGTTCTGTTTGAAATGGACTAACACTATACTCATACTAAGTGGTTATTAACGATACCTGTATCACGACTAAAATGCTTTTCACTCCCGTGGTAAATTCCACTTGTCCACTCGTAGCATTGAATGTATCATCTGGTGACGAGCTAGATGCATTAAGAGTCGTTATTTGCCATGTTACTGGAGCTTTACCGATCTGACCAACACTGCGCAGAATCCTGTTGATGCAGAATATGATACCCTTTCAACAAGTGAAATGACAAACTTGAAGACGCAAATATACACCTAACTAAAGTGCAAGAATGTTGTCTTTTAAAATGACAGAATTACAAACAAGCAAACAAACGAATAAACAAGAAGGTAAACAAACAAACATGTATACAAGCAAGTAAGCAAACATACAAAAAGTAAACGAGCAAACAAACAAGTGAATAAGCAAGCAAACAAACAAAAAGTAAACAAGCAAGCAAACAAATAAGTATACAAACAAACAAACGAACAAGTGAACAAGCAAGCAAGCAAGCAAACAAACAAAAAGTAAACAAGCAAGCAAACAAATAAGTATACAAACAAACAAACGAACAAGTGAACAAGCAAGCAAGCAAGCAAACAAACAAAATGAAAACAAGCAAGGCAAAAGAACTAGCAAACAAATAAACAAATAGCTAACAGCACAAGCAAACAAACAAGACACTAAAGAGACAGCACTGCAAACAAACAATTGAACAAACAAACCAAGAAAAAAACCAACCTTATTTCGAAGACTCCATTATAACGAGCAGATGGTTCACCTACAAGTAAGTTTCTTGATGACGGGTCAATCGAGATGATTCCTTCAGCTTTGTCATTAGCAGGAACAAGTACAACTACTGTCTTGTGGGAAGCATTGATTTTTGCATCATTATTGACTGTTTCAAGGATACATGTGTATTTTTGTGGTGGTTCAGGAACAGAATCATTGATTGCAAGCAACACGATTTCCTTCGTGCGGTCACCCTGTGGAATGAAAAGGATCAAAATTATAGGCCCGGCTTACTCACAGATCGAACCCTGAAACAACCTCTGGGCTGATCAAAGTCAGGGCACGGCTAACTCACAGATCCAACCCAGAAACAACCTCTGGGCTGATCTAAGTCAGGGCAAGGCTAACTCACAGATCAAACCCAGAAACAACCTCTGGGCTGATCTAAGTCAGGGC